AGAGGAGATGAAGGAGGAAGAAACAGAGGAGGAGGAGGAGGAAAAAAAGCCAAAGGAGGAGAAGAGAAAAAGAAGCAAGAAAAGAGACAGCAGGAAAAGCAGAAGGATGATGAGGAGAAGAAGCAAAAGAAGAAGACTGGGGAGAGTGTGAATGAGAAAGAGATGCAAATAAAAATGTTGAAAAAAAAGTTTCTGGCCTAAAATATTATTGTGTTAAAAAACAGTGCTGAGCCAAAAAAATTGCATTCACAACACCATCATTTTTGCCAACAAATAAATTTGTTGGATGCAAAAGGGGTAAGCACAACACAAAGTTTTATGTAAACAAATGTGCAAAATACTTGCACAACACTAACTTGTACAAGTTAAAATGTAAGTGCAAAAATTGTGTTGCAAAAAAACTAATTGTTCATTTGTTCATTCATTTTTCCTTTGGCTTAGTCTCTGATTTATCAGAGGTCGCCACAGCGGAATGAACCGCTAACTATTCCCGCATACTGAATGCTTTACAAAGCGGATGCCCTTCCAGCCACAACTCAGCACTGGGAAACCCATACACACTCATTCACACACTCGAACAGTACACTATTACCAATTTAGTTTACCCAATTGACCTATAGCCCAATATCTTCGGACTGTGGGGGAAACCAAAAACCCACACAAACATGCTACATGAACATGCAAACACACAGAAGTGCCAACTGGCCCAGCCGGGACTCGAACCAGCGACCTTCTTGCTGTGAGGTGACAGTACTAACCCCTGAGCCACCATACCAACCTAATTATTAATATTACTTAATATTTACATAGCTCATTTTTTTATTATTTACCAATTTGCTATAGTTGATACTTCTGAACATCTGAGGTCTGAACACCAATTATGTTAAAACTAGAGATGTTTTTTATTCCCTCCTGTAATTCAGCAAGTTTTGGAAACTTTGTTCGGGCCAAAAAGTTAGTGTGCAAAGACATTGTGCAAAGAGAAATGTGGGGAAAAATCTGCAAACACCAGCTTTGCTTGGGACAAAAAGTTTGTGTATACACACACAAAATGTTTGTGTTGTACAAAGAGAAAATGACAAAAACACTTACTTAGATTGAGCTAAAAGGTTATTGTGCAGTTTTGCACACACACAAAAAAAAGTAGTGTTGTGCAAAGAGAAATGTGCAAAAAGAGCAATATTAACTTTGTTTAGGCCAAAAAATAAAGCTTAATCATCGCCATCATCATTCCTTTCATGTTTTATTTTGATGCTTTTTCTCCTTTTTATCATAATAGAGGTTATACGGTTGTGTATTTGTTAATATTCACTTACTTTATAAAGCCTGAACAAAATTAAGTCTACAAATGATTTGACTAGTGTTTTTGTCCTAATCACCAGCCAGTAAACATCATATTAACAATGTTCACGTTAAAAATATATACTATATTTCAATAATAGTCGTAAAACCTATTTTTAAAAAACTCATTTCTTTTGTCTTTGACAGTAAAAATATTTTTTTACTTTGCAAGACACTAGTATTCGGCATAAAGTGCATTTTAAAGACGTAACTTGGTTAAATAGTTTAACTAGGCAAGTTAGGGTAATTACGAAAGTTAGATAAAATAAAAAATATTTAAAAATAAAAAGGGGGGGGCTAATAATATACATCTTAAAGTTGCTGATCAAAAAATGAAGGAACGTTTTTTTCCCCCCTAGCCACTTAAAAAAAAAAAAAACATATATATATATATATATATATATATATATATATATATATATATATATATATATATATATATATATATATATATATATATATATTAGAAATACCAAAACGATCTTGCAAAATTTTGTAACTTTTTGATTTAGTGGCTAATTCATATGAATTCGTACAATCTTATTCATACAATTTAGTACGATTTCCTCATCACCCAATGATGCTTGGGTTTAATGGCGGAGTTGGGTGACATGGCTAATTTTTAAAATCGTACTGAACTCTTATGAATTAGCCACTTAATATACTAAATGTAAAATACTTACATATTCTCTTGAGATTAGACTGGAACTAATGTGCAAATGTCCTTGGTCTGTTAACCATTATTTGGAAAATATTTGAAAATGTTCTTTGTATGCTTTGTACGTTGCATTTACTTTTGTTCAGACAGAGAAAATCCTTTTTTCATTTCTTTTTTGTTTTTGTTTTTCATATTTAAATCTTTCTTAGTTAAATGAGGCTTTAACCCTTAACGCTACATATTTAATTAATTGTCCTTTGGCTTAGTCTCTTTATTAATCTAGGGTCGCCACAGCTAGTTGAACAGCCAACTTATCCAGCATATGTTTTACACAGCGGATGCCCTACCAGCTGCAACCCAGTACTGGAAAACATTTCCACATTTCCTATTTTATTTTTCTTCTGAGGAAAAAAAAAATATTTAGTTTAACCCATTTATTAAGTACCCATACACTCTCACATTCACACACAAACACTATGGCCAATTTAGTTTCTTCAATTCACCTATAGCGCATGTCTGTGGACTTTGGGGGAAAATGGAGCACCCGGAGGAAACCCAAGCCAACACGAGGAGAACATGGAAACTCCACACAGAAAAGCCAACTGACCCAGCCGAGGCTCAAACCAGCAACCTTCTTGCTGTGAGGCGAAAGCGCTACCCACTAATTTCTAATTTTATTAGAAATGAGTTATCAAAACTATTCTTTTTAGAAATGTGTTGGAAAAAAAATCTCTCTCCGTTAAACAGAATTTAGGGAAAAAATAAACAGGGGGTCTAATAATTCAGGAGGGCGAATAATTCTGACTTCAACTGTATGTTTATAACAAACAGTTTTTGTAATAGTATAACGAGTTGAAGTCAGAATTATTAGCCCCCTGTCCCCCCCCCCCCCCCCCCCCAATTTCTGTTTAACAGAGAGATTTTTTTCAACACATTCCTAAACATAATAGTTTTAATAACTCATTTCTAATCACTGATTTATTTCATCTTTGTCATGATGACAGTAAATATTTTTTACTAGATATTTTTCAAGACACTTCTATACAGCTTAAAGTGACATTTAAAGGTTTAACTAGGTTAATTGGGTTAACTAGGCAGATTAAGGTAATTAGGCAAGTTATTGTGTATCGATGGTTTGTTCTGTAGACTATCGAAAAATATATAGCTTAAAGGGGCTAATTATTTTGACCTCAAAATGGGTTTTTAAAAACTTTTAAAAACTGCTTTTATTCAAGCCGAAATAAAACAAATAAAACTTTCTCCAGAATATTTTTTTTTTATCAGACATACTGTGAAAAATTCCTTGCTCTGTTAAACATCAAACATTTAAAAAAGAAGAAAAAAATCAAAGGGGGCTAATAATTCTGACCTAAACTATATATGATGTGTGTATTTAATAACTGTATACAGTTTTGTACTAAAATCATGCAGTTATTTGTGTTTTATGGTTTTTATATTGTTCTATTTTAAATACACAGGAAAATTGCTCCAAATCTAAATATGACTTTCAGAAACAAATACCTGTGAAGAAATTATGCCAAGGTATCCATAATCCTGGACCAGGCTGTATCCTGAGCAGTTGCTGTGGCAGTCATGGAGGAGTGGAGAGCATGAGACTGATTCCTGATTCCTGATTCCGTGGGCCAGCCTGAACACCCGCTGGTGACCTACTCCCACCAGCAGCTTCTCCATGATTGACGTTTAGCATTTTCCAGCCTCCAGTCCCTAGACTGCAGCTCTGCACAAGAAGTTTGGTCAGAGGAAAAATGGTTGTGCACATCTGAGCCTGGTTTCACTTTTGTCAATTGGTGAAGTTTTGTTCCTCGCCACTGGCTTGCTTGATTTAGGACTTGTGGAGCTGCCCATCGATGGATTTGTTTTTCAGTGTTTGGACTTTCAGTAGTGAAAATTAGCCACACTGACCTGAACTAAACTGAACTCTGAAAACTGGACTCACAGTTTGAATTCACTATAATCTTCTATTAAACTGCTTTGACACAATCTACATCGTAAAAGTGTTATAGAAATAAAGATGAACTGAACTGAAAAAACATAATGAATACGGTTGTAATTTACAGCAGTGGTTCTCAAAGTGGGGGTCGGACCCCCCGAGAGGTCATGGGACAATGAAGAAAGGTCACCTGGTGATTTCCAAAAATCTATTTATTTTTATTAAACCATTTATATTATCCATAACCTACTGAAAAGAAAAAATAGTAGTTTATAGTTACTATATACTACTGTAGTTACAATAGTAGCTTATAGTTAATAGTTCTATTGGATTTTGACCCCTGGCATAATTACATTATATTAAAGGCACAACAATAGAGTCAGACGCAGCAGATTGATTTAATAACACCAGGTTAAACTTTCTGGCACATTTACAGCACTGACATACATGCAAAAAATGCAACGAATAATAGACTTGGGTCTATTGGTGTGTGTATTTATAACCACCTCGGAAGGTATAGGGGGTCGCTGGCTGAAAAGTTTGGGAACCCCTAATTTACAGTTGCAGTGACGCTGTTTGTTGCGGCGACACACATCAGTAGTCATGTTGTCTTGTGTTTGTCTTTGAGGTGAACTTAATTGCTCTTAGGTGACAATAAAGATATTCTAATCTAATCAAATTTGAGTTATGTTTAATAATTGTACATAGGCTCTTTCTGTACTACAATTTCGATGCTATTTTCTTACATGCTAACTAACGTTACCATTGTACTAACGGGTGGATAACGTTAGCTAGTAGATGGCTTTCCTGAAGTAACAGTTAACTGTTAATAGTGTGATGTGACATTTTGTTTATAGACAAAACTTCAGGAACTTAAATTTCTTTTTATAGTCTTTCTTACCTTCAAATGTTTATTCGTGTGTTCATTTAACCTAATATAAATAACAAATAGGTAAACATGAATATTAATATACTCACGCACAAATGTACCGAACAGCGGCCTCTGCTGACAGAAGATTTGTTTCAAACCCTCCAAGTATATCCGCCCGGATGTGACGCATGCACTGATTGTCAACATGCAAGATGGCGACGCTTCACAGACAGAACGCCGCTGGACGGAGAAAGGTCCAGGTGATAATTTACAGATAATATTTGTGAAACTTTAAAGCTTATGGCAGTGCATCTACCTTTTTTTAGATGTCGCCTAATATGGAGTCCTTAATATTTACAGACGTAAACATTTCCACCTTTAGTTAAGTACTGTAGTGTTACCATGGTGCAGTGTTGATATGCAACGCAATGCCAATCAGTTATTTTTAATGATGTGCAAATATTTATATTGCCCATTGTAAATGTACGTGCTCCTGTCATAAAAATTGTTAGTCTAACATAATTGGCTTTTTATTTAAAACCGCATTAGGTAAGAGATTAAAGCAGGTCTTATACAGCTTCAAAACTATATATCAGATTGATGGACTCATAATAACGTTACATACAAGACAATTCCTAATGCTTCCTTTGTTAACACAGTTATTTAAAAGCTTGTGTTAATTGGCAGTGTGATATACACATGAGGTAGTATAATTGGCCTCAAGTTTGTTTTATATTCACACATTCAGACTTTCACCTTCTTAATATAATTTCAGAAAAGTACTGTTTGCAAATTATAAATTTGTGAATCATGCTATCATTTAGTGACTATCCAACTACTAGACTTTAAGACTGAATATCTGAAGAATATATCAAGTGTGGTGAACAATATACACTTACCGGCCACTTTATTAGGTACACCTGTTCAACTGCTTGATTTATGCAAGTTTCTAATCAGCCAATCATATGGCAGACAACTAAATGCATTTAGGCATGTAGACATAGTCAAGATGCTCTGCTACAGTTCAAACCGAGCATCAGAATTGGGAAGGGAGGTGATTTAAGTGACTTTGAATCTGGCATGGTTGTTGGTGCCAGACGAGCTGGTCTGAGTATTTTAGAAAGGCAACAGTAACTTAAATAACCGCTCATTACAACTGAGGTATGCAGAATAGCATCTCTGAACACACAACACATCCAACCTTGAGGCGGATGGGCTACAGCGGCAGGAAACCACACTGGATGCCACTCCTGTCAGCTAATAACAGGTCCCTGAGGCTACAATTGGCACAGGCTCAGCAAAATTGACAATAGAAGATTGGAAAAACATTGCCTGGTCTGATGAGTCTCAAATTCTGCTGCGAAATTCAGATGGTAGAGTCAAAATTTGACATTTACAACAAGAAAGCATGGATCAATCCTGCCTTGTATCAACGGTTCAGGCTGGTGGTGGTGGTGTAATGGTGTAGGGCATTTGTTCTTGGTACACTTTGGGTCCATTAGTACCAATTGAGCATTGTGTCAACGCCACAACCTACTTGAATATTGTTGCTGAATATGCCCATCCCTTTATGACCACAGTGTACCCATCTTCTGATGGCTACTTACAGCAGGTTAACGCACCATGTCACAAAGCATGAATCATTTCAGACTGGTTTCCTGAACATGACAAAGAGTTCACTGTTCTCAAATGGCCTCTACAGTCACCCCTTTTCAACCAAATAGAGCACATTTGGGATGTGGTGGAATGAGAGATTCGCATCATGGATGTGCAGCTGACAAATCTGCAGCTACTGCGAGATGCTATCATATGAACCACGATCTCTGAGGAATATTTCCAGTACCTTGTTGAATCTATGCCACAAGGATTAAGGCAGTTCTGAAGGCAAAAGGGGGTCCAACTCGGTACTATTAAGGTGTACCTATTAAAGTGGCCGGTGAGTGTAGGTATATAAAATATACAAGGTGTCACTGAGCGAATGTGCGAACATAAAACCACCTTTACCTCAATGGTAGCATGCAATTGTCTAATAAATTTGGGTTATTAATATTAATGTGTTTACAGGTTTCCTATGTGATTAGAGATGAGGTGGAGAAGTACAATCGTAATGGTGTTAATGCTCTTCAGCTGGATCCTGCTCTCAACAGACTCTTCACAGCCGGCCGAGATTCCATCATCCGGATATGGAGTGTCAATCAACACAAAGTGATTTATCTTAAACGCTTTTTGTGATTTACTTAGTGATTTTTATTTAGTAGTTTTTATTTACTTTGTATTTTGAGCAACAATGTTAACTTTACATTTAGTTCAAAGTCACAAGTCATTCAAATTTTGTCTGTAGTTCTGCATATGGTCAACTGTTTGTGAAAAATCCAAGTAGCTACTGTTTGCTCTCACAGCAGGATCCTTACATTGCTTCAATGGAGCATCACACCGACTGGGTGAATGACATCATCCTCTGTTGTAATGGAAAGACATGTAGGTCTGAACATTTCAGATGTATTTGAAAAAAAATTAATTATGCTGGATTTTCATCAAATATATATTCTGTGTTGTAGTGATTTCAGCCTCTTCGGACACCACAGTGAAAGTCTGGAATGCACACAAGGGTTTCTGCATGTCCACATTACGGACACATAAGGTATGTTTTTTATATTGTTTAGTTTGGTCATAAACTGGCTCTTCTGTTTTAAAATTATACTTATGATAGTTGCACATAGGCCTAGTTTAAACATTCCAGAATTTTCCTAACAAACAGAATGAAGCTGATTGGTACTACTTTTGTAATTTGAACATATTGTATGTATTAGGCAGTAGGGCTGCATGAAATTGGAAAAGTCTAACATTGCGATATTTAATTTTTCTGTGATAATATTGCGATATAGTGTATAATTTCATTCAGGAATTATTATTATTGGATGAAATGAATAGACACTTTTCACATTTCCAGGTTTCTCAGTTGTGAAAGTTGTCTTAGTTGGGAAAACAGAGCTTAGTGAATGGGAGAGTACAACAAAAAATTTTTTTTACAATCTTATTTGCTCAAATAACTAAAAGAAAAATTCCACGATGATGTTATAAAGACTTTCAGAAAAAGGAAAAAAATAGTGTGAGACTGATGACGGCAGCCAGAAGAGAGAATAACATCAAATTTACTGTCCTGCCCCTATAGATGTTTTTTTGTCATTTGTAGCAAAGATAATATACTACATACTTAAATACATAGAAATGTTTATAGGTTTAAAAAAATCTAAATATTAAAAACTTTTAAGAATTTAAGCTGCTGATGATCGTTAAATGTGTCTTAACAGGCTTGTGAAAATGGTCCATAGCTCTATTTGGGGAAAAAATTTACATCATTTTACATTGATTAGGATGATAAGTGCATATGCATTAAATATAATAAACCAATCATAAGCATTGATAAAAACAGCCGAGCAAAGATATAAATAAAAACATTGACACAGATTTTCTGGGAGTCTAGCAGTATTCAGGTACACAAATTGAATAATGAAATGTAAAGTAGCAGTGTTGTCTTCATTGTGTGTATATATACTTCAATACAGTTAACCTTTCTCAAAGTTACAAACATTATTTATTGCGCATGAATGCTTTAAAATGCTTTAAATGCTTACACAATCACACGAACACAATCAACTGTGGTTCCTGGTCATCTATAATCCCGCTACAATATTGCAGGTCCTGCGATGTGACAATTGCAGATGTCCACATTGCGATATCGATTACATTGCTTTTCTTGTGAAATTTCCAATACGCTTGATGTGTCAAAATGACCCTCTTCCTATTGAAAAAACAAAAGTTGGATCCAAGATGGCGACTTCAAAATGGCCACCATGGTCACCACCCATTCTGAAAAGTTTGCCCCTTCACATATACTAATGTGCCAAGAACAGGACATTATGTCACCAACCATTCCCATTTTATTAAGGTGTATCAATATAAATGGCCAACCCTGTAGATATATATTCTTGGATTACTTGCACATTACACAGAATCCAAGTATACATGTAAAATATTGTTGACAAGGCAGTCTAAAAGTTTAAATAACAAATTTTTATTCACAATATTTTGAAGTGCCCACAATTTCAATATTGTGCATGTTCATTGTCACGATATATTGAATTATTTATTATCATCATATGTCTAACCTGGTGATGTGGTTGTGATTTATGCTGTAGGACTATGTCAAAGCTTTAGCATATGCAAAGGACAAGGAACTGGTGGCATCAGCTGGGCTGGACAGGCAGATCTTTCTGTGGGATGTGAACACACTGACAGCTCTGACCGCCTCCAATAATACAGTCACCAGTGAGTAAATGCTAAATCATCACTGTTGACACCATCCTACTTATTATACGTTGAGTGAGAAGAAACAGAAGATTCTGAAAAAACCCATTTGCTCTGTAGTGAGTGCACTATCTAGTGTTGGTGTAATTGGTCACAACGTAACTAGTTAATGTAATTAAATGACTTTTCCATTTGAAAAATTTATGTAAGAGGTTACTATTTTACTTTTAGATAATTTAATTTACTGCTACCTGTTTAAATAATGTAAATAAATCAATTCAGAGAAGCAGAATAATTGTGGTTTTTGTTATACAAATATATTTTACAGAATAATTATATTTTAACTAAATAAGACTGTTTATCAAGACAATTGAATAAGCTTAAGAAAAAAGGAATTGAGCAAATTAGTATAAATGTGGCATAAATTTAGAGAATCAAAGGATTTGTGTATATTATATAAAGATATTTTGCATCATTTAAACTAACTAAAGAATAATTGTACATGCTTAAAGGGGTGGTCCACTACGATGTCCTATTTTAAACTTTAGTTGATGTGTAATGTATCTGTGTGAACATAAACTGCATCTCTGAATGTAAAAAGCTCAAAGTTCAATGCAAAGGGAGACCTTGGTTTTTACAGAGTTAGCTTAGTAAAGCCTACTATGAACAAATTTTGGGGACTACAAAAAAATACTTCGCCACCTGTAAGATTACAAACATACTTTTACCACGCACAAACACTGCGCCAGGTAAGGGCCGTGGCCAGAGGCGCTGTAATGTTATAGCAAAGAGAGCTAAAATGCATCCCAGCGCTACTGTTTCCACAGAGCTTCGTCTGTTTCTGTATTTGGTCTTCCAAAGGAGACGACACACAGACAGAAGTACTTACAGTTCAATATTAATTATGTTCCAGAAAATTATAAAACACATAGCAAGCATGATTTGACAAAACACAGCTTCCAGAATCTCTCCCAGTTCAGTGCTGGATTTGGTTAAAATCTCCTCAAAGCAGAAACTGTGAACTACAACCTGTAAGTGATTTTATTTGTTAAAATTGATCATGACATGTTCAGTGTATAGCGGTAACGGTATGCTGTAGCAACGATGTAAACAATGGGAAATGCTGAAACCGAAACGATTTGGCTACAAATTCATATTTATCAGTCAAACTGCTATAAACACACACACACACACACACACACACACACACACACACACACACACACACACACACACACACACACACACTTTACCAGCACGTGCAGCACCTCTCTATGTGTGTGCGCGCAAATTTGCATTGTTTCTCTTTAGGCAGCTTTTCCATGTGTTTTACATCTAAGATAATGAAGTCGCAAAAGATATGTGGATGATTTATATTACTTACACCTGCATATTTCGCATATATGTGAAAGACGTCGTGTAACATGCTGAGTTAAAAAAATACAGGAGAGCTCACCTAACTCGTGTAGCAGCAGAAAAATAAATCAAGGCTCACACAGGTCTCATCCCACATCTTGTGCTTTATTCTTCTGTCAGCAGTGTCATGATATATTACAGAAAATAACTTAATCCGAGCAAAAAAGAAAAAGAAAGTCCCATGCACACGTTACACACATCTACAGAAAGTACAGACATTCACGCACACACATAGACACATGCAATAGCGATGTCTCATCATAGGTATCCAGAAATTGTAAAAAATAAAAGAAAATATAAAATACTATAAAAATAAAAAAATTCCATGCATAAATAAATACGGAAATTACATTATTGACTCAAGGACATTATAAGAGCAATCAAAACAATACACTCCTAATTGTGTTGTATGCCATCCAAATGAAAACTGATGAACAAATTGATTTATTGCTTTTCAATTACAAATCAATTGTGTATTTTTTTTAAACCCATATTGTTACACTCGATCAGCACTTTTTTTTCTTTTTTCATAAACTATATACATATGAAACTGTGAGGATGGTACTTATAGCACCTTAAATAGTAACTTTTATTTGTTTATTTTTAAATAGGTATTGTTGTTTTCATTATTTTTCTTCCAAAAAAATAATACATAAAATAAACAAAGAAAATGCACATCTCTCTGACTATTGTACATTCTATAGCAAGTCTGGCCTTAACGGGAGAATATATTCTACCCATTTTCTCCATGTCTCATTAAGCTCCACAGTCTGTAAATGGTGATTCATTGTTAGCCTCCACATCTTATAGATATCACAAGTTATTTCAGACCAGTCACTAATTTGAGTTGCTTTGAGCTGTAACCATTATTCTGTTATGGCTTTGTTACAGGCTTTCAGCAAAACTTTCATCATTTTTTTCATCAGATTTTTCTTTTAGCATAGGATAATTGAGACCTAAGTATAGAGTTGAGAAAGAAAAATGAATGGGGGTATGGAATATAATCTCTGAACATTTATGAAGTTCTTTCCAAAATGCCTGAATTTTTAAACATTTCCAGAATGTGTGTGTATGATTCGCTTCATTTGAGCCACATAGTTTCCAACAGACTGCATTTTTGTTTAAGTATCTCTTCTGCTCAGGGGTGACGAAAAAACTTAATTATATTTTTCCAGCCGAATTCCCTCCATACTGAGGAGGATGTTGATTTCCACTGTGCTTTAAAAATATTTTCCACTCTTCCCTAGTAGTTTCAATATTGCCCTCTTTTTCCGATTTATTTTTTATACAATATGTGATAAATTGTCATTTTTGTTTTCATCATCATTTCTAACGTTTTAATTTTGTGTCTTATCTGTAAATATCTATGAAAGTCATGATCGCGTAGTGAATTTTCATTTTTGAATGTTTCAAAATCCATAATACTTCCATTATGTAGAAAAGTGCAGTATGCCGTAAGTCCTTGCTTATTCCAAACTTTAAAACGAGTGTCTATTTTGTTTGGGGCGAATGTGGAGTCAAATGCTGGACATCTCAGTATTGATACAGATTCTGTTAATTTTTGAATATTTGAGTGTATTTTTTAAACAAAACTAAAATGTGCCGTTTGACTCCTATTTAAAGAATTAAGATTTTAATTTATATTGTCAATGTGTTGAGATTTGTCAGTCCAGTAATTAAATTACTCTTGAGTTACTAAGTAAATTTTCTGACAAAGTAATTAAAATACTAAAATCAAACAAAAAGTGCTCAGGGGTAGCTTAATTAATGTGTCTGTGCTCTTTGGGTAATGGATTCATCAGAATAAACAGCAAAAATCGTAGACCATATTGTTCAAAAGAAACTCCAGACGCACATGATCTCTGTTATGCGTGCATGAGTGTTTGACGAAACACGTAGGCACAGTTTTAAGGAATAGCCATGTCAATAAAGGCCTTTTAATTTTTTTTCCACATTTTTTGAGTGCCTTGGACATATTTTTAACCATAATTTAACCATATTTTTTTCTAACTAAAATACTATTTTACTTATGTAATGAATTACTTTATTTACTATTATTGAAAGTAACTTACCCAACATATTTTCTTTGACAGCTTCCTCCTTGAGCGGAAACAAGGACTCCATTTACAGTCTGGCTATGAATCAGACAGGAACGGTCATCATTTCGGGATCTACAGAAAAGGTAAGACTTACCATTTTATGTTTTCTAATCATTTGAAGGAGGGAATCTTGTCTCTGATGTGGCTGCAGGTTCAAATAAAAAGTCTTTGCTCACAGAGTTTGTTTTGCTTCACATTGTCTTGGTAGGTCTTGAGGGTCTGGGATCCACGAACATGTGCCAAGCTGATGAAACTAAAAGGCCACACTGACAACGTCAAATCTTTATTACTAAACAGAGACGGCACTCAGGTGAGACTTTTAGACAGATGCAGACAATACTGCACATCTTGTATGTCTTCGTATGTGCATCACATGCAAAATATACTGAATAAAGATTCAGACACATCCTTAAATTGTGGTAATTAAAATATGTTAACCCTTAATAGTGCACGCATTGAAAAAACTTGTGAACTTTTATGATTTAAAAAAATTTATTTTGTAATCAATGTCAGCAGTATTCAAATTATTCATTGATGATCAGGGGGGTCAACTTTTTCGATTAGATTGTGTAACACATGTTTCAGTCATTTATGTATTTAATGTTATTAGATTATTAGATCTAGTTTATTTATACAACTTATTTAAGTTTTCAGTTTTTTGAGGGATATTTGTTCTGTATTCTGATGTGCAGTATCACCTGATCAGCTATTTCAGCTATTTTTGTAGGTTAAACTATACAAACTTCACTGCATTAGGCTATATGTAGATACAAACACCTATTTTTTTTTAATAAGGAAAAAGTTTTGTGAACACTTCTGATGTCTATCGGTGATCTAGATTTGCCAGGTTCAGACTGTTGAAGGAATTTTTTTCTTGCATAGACTGATTGCCATTCACAGTGGTATAAACCGTTGTGGCGGTGGTCAAATGTATGTTTATATTATCTCTTTATTTTAATTATTGAAGTTATTATTTTAAAACAGATCAGAGTGAACTGTTTCTCAGTATTAAATGGCTGACCCCATATACATCTTGTTTTGACATCCTTCAGGGGGATCAAGCATTAATTAGGCGGGTTAATCCTCTCCAAACCCCCCCCCCTGTGATTGGCACCCTGAGGCCCCGTTTACACTAGTGCGTTTTAGTTTTAAAACGGCGTTTTAGAATAAAAACGATCCGCGTCCACACTCGCGTTTTACCCAGCGTTTCTGAACTGCTCTCCGTCCACACCAAAACGCTGAAAACGCACATCACGTGACCACACAGACACTCTCGGGCAAGCGCTGCAGCCCATATACCCAGATGAGAGCTGTGCTAGTCGGACTTCTCATCAACCATCTCCCGCTGGATCTAATATCCCTATATTTATTGAACGGGATATTTCATTTATCTTGTTGTCTTTATCTAACGACATATTCCCTGACTTTGGGCATTGGAATCTATTACTTGTTCTCAGGTAACGTGTTTTGGCTGAGCGCAAAGATAAGTTAATGATTAATGTAAGCACGTACATTCTGTATATTGACTGATCGCTTGCCTTTATTTCCTATAATGTATAAACTTATTGTATGTTATACTTTTATAATGGCCATTATCGATTATTAAAACTGATATTCAGCAAAAGAGAGGGTGTGTTTCGTATTTTCACTGAAATTGAAAGGAGGCAGTTGTTATCGGCTCCGTTTTGTTATAAATATCCACACAGTGAAGATGACGCTCATATATGCAGCACGACACCTCAACATTTCTGCTGTCTAAGTTGCTAATATTAAAATGAAAATAGGCAGTTCCTTAAATCATGTTTACATTTTATTGTTGAGAAAGTGAAACAACGAAGCCAGGGTGATGTGAATGAAGTTATAAAGTACACTGTTCCCTGTGAAGATTTACCCGTGTCCTCAGTATAGTCTGTTTACCATATCAAACTGAGAAGAAGAGACTGCAGCCTTGATCAAATTTGCGAAGTCTGAACTTACACGGAGAGAAAGCAGGACTGAACTGTGCGTGTTAGGCTACTTAATATTCAGGAAAAGCCCCAATCAGAGAGGCGAACGTCTGCAGCCCCGCCTCCGTTTTCAGATGTCTCCGTTTTCCATCATCCACACTGAGACGGAGCAGCAGCGTTTCAGAATGAAAACGGCCTCTCCAGCGTTTTCGAAACGCTCCGTTTTCGGCGCTCGAGAACTCTGGCGTAGTGTGGACGGTTGGAGTAACCGTAGCAAAACTTATGCATTTTCAAACTAAAACGCATTAGTGTAAACGGGGCCTTAGTGTCAGTGAAGTTACCATACCACAGTATGTGATCCTGACCCACAAAACCTGTCATATTTTGAAATTGAGATTTCCATTGATGGTTTGTTAGGATTGGACAATATTTAGGCGAGATATGAATTTTGTTTTTTTAAATCTTGATAAAATTGCGTATAAATTTGTCCGAATTATTCTCATAGCATTTCCAATTACTCATCAAAAAATGTTTTGAGTAGGAAATTTTGTAAATCTAGTCATGGAACATGATCTTTACTTATTCTAATGATAAAAAATATATATATAATTTTGACCCGCACAATGTTTTTTTGTTATTGGTGTTAGATCACCATCTCCACGCCGGATAAATACGATCCAGCCCCTGACACCAGATCTTGTCAGAAAATGTCTGTTTCTCCAGGTATATGGACAACAAGTCAGCAAAGTTTCCAATACCTAAACCTGTTAACCAGTATTCAACTGAATTAACAGCCTCCTATCAATATAGGAGTTGACTGAGAAAACCAGAGAGGAGCAGAAACAGGAGACGAAGTAATGATGATAAAGAAAGAGCAGAGTTTATTAAATAATCTTAGTTGCATATGATTCAATGCTCAGACTTCACCTGACCAGGATAAATCCAACAAGTGTTATTATACCACAAGCAACTGCAATGGAAAACTACTGCTTCACAACATTGTCCAGAGACAATACAGACCTTGAAACGGAGACATTCTCTTATCTCTTACTCATGAAAACAAGTTTCACTTGAATCCACACAGTCATAAGATTATAACAATATGGAAAAATAGAAATAATAATGAAGCAATAATTGTATTGAAATAGTAATAATAAAATATAAAAAACACTAAAATGACAAATAATTAATAATAATTATAAAATCATTAACTACTGATCAATAAAATTATATAATGATAATTATATAAATGACTAATGATCATTTGATTAAATAAAATATTTAAATGAAGAATAAATGAATAAAAACAAATGAAAAAAACACAACACAAATTAATAGTTGTTTTCTTGAAACAACACACACATAAGTTTTCTACAAGGATTCTCAGATCCTTAGTTAGATTCTTCATTGACAAAAATACAGCTGTGCAACATAAGACACTTGCAAACTTCCATTTCCTTGTTCCTTTAGGGCAGGCGTGTCCAAACTACGGCCCGCGGAGTTGAAGTCTTAATTATTAGCCCCTCTTTTTTAAATATTTCCCAAATGATGTTTAACAGAGCAAGGACATTTTTACAGTATGTCTGATAATATTTTTTCTTTTGGAGAAAGACTTTTGTTTTATTTCGGCTAGAAAAAAAAGTGGTTTAAATTATTTTATGAACCATTTTAAGGTCAAAATTATTAGCCCCTTAAGTCTTCAGAACAAACCATAAAATAACTTGCCTAATTACCTTAACTTGACTAGTTAACATGATTAACCTAGTTAAGCCTTTAAATGTCACTTTAAGCTGTATAGAAGTGTCTTAAAAATATCTAGTCAAATATTATTTACTGTCATCATGGCAAAGATAAAATAAATCAGTTATTAGAAATGAGTTACTAAAACTATTATGTTTAGAAATGTGTGGAAAAATCTTCTCTCCGTTAAACAGAAATTGGGGAAAAAATAAACGGGGGCTAATAATTTAGGGGGGGTAACAATTCTGACTTCAACTGTATTTATTTATATATATATATATATATATATATATATATATATATATATATATATATATATATATATATATATATATGCGTGTCTGTGTGATGTATGTAAAATTTGGCCCGCGACAACGTTTGTTTATTTGCATCTGGCCCTCGGCCCAAAAAGTTTGGACACCCCTGCTTTAGGGGAATCCATACCAGCATTTTAAAGTGTGTTCCACTTAATCAAGTTAACAAGGGAAGCTTACATGAACATGCCCTCCATCCCTTGATTTTGACCAAGGGAACGAGTCAGATTCATATGTTCACTCCAGCACCTTTGTGTCCCCAGAATGCAATGCAATTGTGATGTCACAACACTCTAGTTCCCAAGTGCTCAGAATGTTTAGAACATTCGGTTTAAACCTATTTAGATTTTCCACCAGTAGTGGACAGTTGTGTAACATCCAACAAGACGGAGGAAAGTTGGCGATTAGGGCTGCACGATATTAGAAAAATATGACATTGCGATATTTTGTTCATTCATTCATTCATTTTCTTGTCGGCTTAGTCCCTTTATTAATCCAGGGTCGCCACAGCGGAATGAACCACCAACTTATCCAGCAAGTTTTATACGCAGCGGATGCCTTTTCAGCCGCAACCCATCTCTGGGAAACATCCATCCACACGCACTCATTCACACACACTCATACCCTACGGACAATTTAGCCTACCCAATTCACCTGTACCGCATGTCTTTGGACTGTGGGGGAAACCGCAGCACTGGGAGGAAACCCACGCAAAGGCAGGAAGAACATGCAAACTCTACACAGAAACGCCAACTGAGCCGAGGTTCGAACCCAGCGACCATCATTTGAGCATCAATATCGCAATGTGTGTATGCGCAATGGTCGCATCGCAGGATTATGCGATTTTTAAACAAGTAAAATTTGAAGATATTATTAAAAAAAAAAAATTTATTATTTACATAATGAACAAAATGGCGACCTTCTTGCTGTGAGGCAACAGCACTACCTACTGCGCCACTGCCTCGCTATTTTGTTCATTGTGTAAATAATAAAAAAAAAAAACTATATTTAATAATATCTATTTGACTTGTTTATAAATCGCATAATCCTGCGATGTGACTATTGCTGATACACACATTGTGATATTGATGCTCAAATGATATATTGCTCAGCTCTATTAGCAATTGTACTGGAGTGCAGCCATGATCCACGATCACATATGGTTCTTTGCCTGATAAATGGTTCTATTCTAATTATTAGGGATGCTCCAATCAATCGGCCAGAGATCGGTATCGGCTGTTAATCACGTTTAATGACTCAATCAGTACTCGCCAATTTGCCCGATCTAATGAACTGATTGCAGATGTTTGTTTATGAGTTTACAAGCAGAGAAAGTGGTGACGAGAGTGAGTGGACAAGAGAACAGATTAATATACAATGTGGTCAGGGTCAGATTTGTAAATATTACCTTGAATATTGTTTTTCTTTGCTTCTGCTAGTCTGGACTCTGTCATTGTCACACTCATTCAGATGTGCATGTAAAACCTGCTTTATTTCCTTGTCTAGTGTCTCTCTGGAAGCTCGGACGGAACGATACGCTTGTGGTCTCTTGGCCAGCAGAGATGCATTGCCACATACCGGGTCCATGATGAGGGCGTGTGGGCCCTGCAGGTGAACGAAGCCTTTACACACATTTACTCTGGAGGACGGGACCGAAAGATCTACTGCACGGACCTGCGTAACCCTGACATGCGTGTGCTCATATGTGAAGAGAAAGCACCCGTTTTAAGGGTGAGGGCAAGCTTGAGATGCATAGTGAAAATATAGAAATGAAGGTACTGAAATCTTAATGAATATATGTTGATGTTTCCTCTGTGCAGATGGAATTAGACAGATCAGCTGATCCTCCACAATCAATCTGGGTGTCTACAACTAAATCATTTGTCAACAAATGGGTGAGTAACCACAACTCAGATCACATAAATCATTCAGTCATAATCTTTAATTTACCTTTGATTTGTCTAAGCTGCTCTTATCCAATGGTAGCACTGTTCTGCATCATATTTGCTGAATGAATTGCAATATTTATTTTCCGACTTGTTTTGATGTGCTAATTTATTCTTTTGAATTTTATAGTCATACATTTTCAACAAATTTGATGTAGTTTATAGCGTCTTTATACTACCAAAAAATAAATGATATCTCTTGTCCTCTGAGAAAAATTCCAACTATTTGTTCAGTTGGATTTTGATATGATTTTAATTGTGCCATTATTTTTATTCCCAATCCTGGTTTCAAGGTGTGTATCATAATCAATGACTTGCATCCAACCAGATGGAGGGAAGTTAGCAATTAGGGCTGCACAATATTAGAAAAATTGGACATTGTGATATTTTGTTTTGCTGCAATATATAGCGATCAGGGGCGCAACTGCACATTTACAGAGGGTTCAAGTTTGCCCCCCCCCCCATTCTGAATATTCTGACTATTTGTTCATGTGTCAGTTTTAACAGGGTTAAGAACAGTTATAATCAAGTATATAAAATTTATAAAGGGGAATTTTTGAGTCTGAATGCGCAAAAATCAGCAGATTTTTAGCCCATGATTGAGTCTATGTATTTACTTGTGTAAATGTGTGTAAATTTATATTTATTCAGTTTTTAAATTCATTTTAACTAATACTGTATATTATTGTAATATGATAATTGTAATATTAGAATGTTCATATGATTTATTTACAATACAGTTTGTAAAGTAATATTGTCTGCCTCGTAGTAGATCTATTATATGAAAGACTTGCTTTGTTTACTAAGTGGATCTAATTTGATTTGCATACATTAATTAAAAGTTTAAAGCTATTTTTTTATTTAATATAAAATTTATTTGTTATGATAATCCTAAAATCATTCTGCATAAATCCGCAGATTTTTTACAAAATTCTTCGCAAAAATAGCAAAAAATATCCACAGATTCTGTCTGGCCATAATATTCAGGTCTGTACTTATAAAATTTGTGTGATCATTAAGTTGATTAAAAAGTATGTAATAATAGTGTGGGTTAAGCTTATCAATCTCTTATCCAGTCTGTCATGGCAGTTTTCGTTTTGAAGGCATTGTTTGTTCTCTATTCTCTTTTTATGTTCTCTTTTTTTCGTTATCTATTTTGCGCTCCACATCTCCTCATTCTTCTCTTAATTTTGAACATGTGACTGTAATCGAGCAATGCAATAATATCCAGCTGCAACTGAGGAGGGGTGGAATATTTTTTTGATTTAATAAAGTACAATAATATACTCGTATAAAATGCCAAATAAACATTTAAAAATATAAATTTTATTTAGTTTTTTTATTTGAAACTTTTCATAAGGATCATTTCAAAAATAGTTTTGGCACAATGGCCCCCCCCCCCCCCCCCCCCCCCCACCCCCCCATGTGTGGCGCCCCTATGCAGTGCACTGCATATACTGCACACCCACGTTTTGCGCCACTGATTGCTAAAAGAATATAATTTCACCAAATGATCTGAATAGCTCTATTTGGAAAGATTTCATTCATTTAGATCGACTGATATGATCAAGTCTTTTTCTATGCAGTGCATCTGCATAACTTATAAAAAATTACAAGCCAAGGTGCTAATTTATACCTTAGAATTTTATAGTCATACATTTTCAACAAATTTGATGTAGTTTATAGCGTCTTTATACTACCAAAAATGTATGATATCTCTTATCATATAGCAGAATGAACATCTATACTATACTATAGCAGAATGACAGATTACATTTTTTTGACTTGTATGTAAAGTCTTTGACATCATTTGGAGTATTAAAACATATTTCTCGCTTTGCAGTAGTCAAATTATACTTTTTAAAAAAATGTTTATCCTTAATTTTGTTATCTTGGAAATTACCTTGCCATGATTAAAGCATATATAATTTGCAATATACAGCTTTTTAACTTAATCTGCAATTTAAATGCTTAACTAGGTTAATTAGGTTAACTAGAGAAGTTAGGTTAATTATGCAAATCACTGGGCAACAGTAGTTTGTTCTGTAGCCAATCAAAACATAATAATTTCTTAAGGGGGCTTATAATATTGACCTTTGCTAAAAGAATAAAAGAAAAAACTGTTGGGCTAATAATTCTGTCTAATAATTTGTTTAATATATATCATTCGAATCATATTCGAAGCATATTTTATAAAAAAAAAAAAAGAATTGCATGTAGAAAAATGTTAGTATTTTCATAAATAACATCATCAGATTTGGTAAAACATGAGGACTATGATTGTTATTCTCAACAACTGACAACTTGACTAAAGTACTTACTATCTGATTCTAACAATTGTGCTGTTTTTCTTGTTGCCTCAAAACGAAGATGTTCTCGCATATATTGTGTGCTTAATCAGCTCATGTGTGTTTCTCTTTGTTTGTTTTTCAACATTGTCAGTCTTTAAAGGCTATGCACAACTTCAGAGCATCAGGAGACTATGACAATGACTGCAGCGCCCCTTTAACCCCACTGTGCACACAGCCAGAGCAGGTCATTAAAGGTAAAAGGCCATAAGTGTATGCTACAACAGCAATCTCAACTCAAAGGAACACTCCACTTTTGAGTTTTACAATTTTTTTTTTATCCATTCACCTGATCTAACAGCCAGCACTTTTAGCTTAGATTAGCATATATAATTGAATCGGATTAGACATCTCACTTTTAAAAAAAATGCATGAAAGAGTTTTGACAATTTTTCGATAATGACTTTTCAGTAGTTACATTGTGTACCAATGTGACGTAAGACTGACGTGAATCGATGTTTATCAGGCCCATATGGATGGGAACTATACTCTCACTCTAGTGTAATATTATAATAGATTGTGTGTGTGTATTTGGGATGCACTGAAATTGATTTTTTGGCTGATATCGATAACCGAAAAGTCTTGAGATTTGGGAGCAGATAGCCGATATACTATAGCCGACAATTTTAATATTTATTTATAAACGTTTAATTTTTTCATACATTGAACGAAAAAAAAAAATTCATAAAAGTTTGAACTGATCTTATAAATGGAATAGTCTACTGAAAGCTATAATTTAATTTGCCGCTGCTTGTCAATCCGACAACGCTTCTGTGTTCGTTCTTGCTGTCAATTGCAAGAAAAATGGTGGATGAAAGGTTTATGATAAACCGCTGTGAGTTTGAAACTGAAGGCACTGTGTGATGAAGTCAGATTAGAAAGTCAAATTTTGATACAATACCTGAACATTGAGCACAGATTACTTAATGACAAACACTGCATAATATAAAGACAGAATGTGGCGGACAGTTGAGAACCCCTATGCTGGACTCAGTGACTGGCGCACCTCTCCCCTGTGCTGCTGTGAAGGCTCTGTCGGCTCACTGTGTGTGTGCACACGTGGTAATAGCCATCACATGCGCTCGTTATTATGATTAGAAATATGCAGATCAAACTGAATACAATCTTACATCAACAACACATGGCAAACAATGCGTTGATAAGAACATATAATCATATTAGATTACAAACAACCCAACGAGTTGTTTAGCACGTGTGCTTCACTGCTGTGATGAAGTAATATTTTTCATGAGGCGATATGAACCAAAATACAAAATGACTCTCTATTAAACATATCTACAGTGATAAGGAATATGGTTACTTACTGAGTTATTAACACACAGCAATACCACACAAAGACAGGACGGACTTTGAAGGAATACCCAAATTGAAAGAAGCTCCGTAGTGCACTGGACAAGTCTGAACAAGTTCCACCCACGCAAGTGCGAGGCAGGCAGTTCTCTATAATTACATTATCTATCTGCTTAAAGATATCGGCCTAATTTTGACATCGGACCGATAACGATAATCTTAAAAATAGCATTTATCGGCCGATAACGATATGGCCGCCGATATATTGTGCATCCCTAGTGTGTATAAAATATGTTCATACTGTGTTGTATTAATCTATAATTATAATAATTGCATTGGTCGTATTGCACAATAAAGAAAAGTCAAGCTTTTAAATAGGAAAATTATAAAAACCCTTCGGTCATTTTTAAACAAGATGCTAATGGTCTAATCCGATTCAATGATTTATGCTAGGTTAAGCTACAAGTGCTCCTGCCAGACCCTGAGATCGGCTAAAAGTATTCAAAAATAGTAATGGAAAAAGTAAAATGAGCCCATTTTCTAAAAAAGTTAAGTTTCCTTTAAAACAGGAGGTTGAGGTAGTTCTGTGCAATTGTTAAAACGTAAACTATTAAGTGTGCTGGTTGTAAAAAAAACACCTAAATGCTTAAATATCTTGTTTTTTTTCTATAAATAACTTTCAGGAGGCACCAGCATTGTCCAGTGTCATATCCTCAATGACAAAAGGCACATACTCACTAAAGACACCAACAACAGTGTGGCATTCTGGGATGTCCTTAAGGTAAAAATTTATCGTGAGAAGCGTTTTGTGGAATCTTTTGGTCTACCATTGCGTAATCTTCCTCTGTGTTTTGTAGGCCTGTAAGGGGGAAGATCTGGGTAAAGTGGACTTTGATGAGGAAGTTAAAAAGAGGTTTAAGATGGTCTATGTGCCAAACTGGTTTTCTGTAGATCTCAAAACTGGGGTAAGGATTCAAATGAATGACGTTTGCAAAGGGATCATGTTTTTAAATTAATAAAGGTGAAGTAAATGTGTGTCTGTAAAATGTGGAAGTACATTGATAATAAAATAAAAGTGCTCACCTCTGTTTTAGATGCTGACTATAACGCTGGATGAAAGTGATTGTTTCGCGGCATGGGTGGCAGCTAAAGATGCTGGGTTCACCAGCCCAGATGGATCTGACCCTAAGTGTAAGGTCTTCTGCTTTGTTCATGGATTGTTTTGCTGTATTGTTTTTCAGCATAATATATGAATATTAAATATTTATGCAGAAAAATGCTCTTCTTGAAGCAATTTAAAACACTGTTAATTAGGGAATATAAGATTGTTCTGTTTCTTTCCAAAGCTGGGACTTGACTTGAAATGCTGCATCAATAATTAGCAAATAAAACACTTTTCCATCCAATGTGTTACAAGTATGGACTGTAAAAAATATAAGGTGTAGTATCCGTGACGTCACCTGTAGGTTTCTGAAGAGCGCAAATAAAGCTACAAGTAGGAATGGCCAGCAGTAATCATTTTGTTAGAGCATCATCGCACCAACCGGCGGTTACCAAACAAGGGGAAAAAAGAGCTACAGATGCCTGCTAGCATTTTGCTTAAACAGGCTTTTTTTTGAGAGAAACACATAATACTTCATTACCTGCAACTCGTTTGTGTTCTGACCACATGTGATTGGTTGTGCACTATATCAATAGTGTTTAGACTTTTAAAATCACAGTTGGAATACATTGAGCCACTAAGCATTGTTCTTATGGTGTTTTTCTGCAAGAGGAAAACATAAATTACTTCCAAATACTTTAAATATAGCCTGTGTTAGTAAATTCAAGGCTGTTTATGAAATCCAGGCACAACACAGAATAACAACGTTTCAGATGACTGCTCTAGAGCCTTCACCTAATCAATCTGTCAGATTTTGGAGTGCATTACAGATCTAAAAATATTATAAATTGTAAATGATCTTACATAAAACAAATACATTTATAGACTTGATAATTAAGTATATAAGAATTTCACTAACCTATGAAATAGAGGCCATTTGAATGATTTGTGAGCACAATTAAGTAAACACAACATGCCATATTATCTGATGATTGTAGGAAATAATTCCAAAAAGCAACTGACTGTGTAAAGCCACAGAAAACAAAACAAAAATATGATGAATATGCCAAGTTCAGCAGCTAATCGGCCGGAATCAGCTGAGGTGATGAGACAGCGACTAGCGAGACCTAGCTGTCACTCAAGTGGCCACGCCCTTAATTATGCAGACTTAATATAACTCAATATAAATGAAACGATGATGAGTTATAAAAAAAAATTCACCCCCCTCACAGTTGTCATGAAGGGTAGTATTAGCTGTATACACCAAACCGTTTTTTGTATCAGGCTGTAAACACCCTTTTTTCTGCTGTAAACTTGGTTATTTTAACAGTGGGGTCAATAGAAATGTGCTCTAAAGCAGAATTTTGATGAATTTCTGTTTCTGTTACATTCATATTAGCTTCACTAGGGAGAGTGGGATGTTGCCGCTTGGTTTCAAGTTGGTGCAACTGGGGAAACCACTGTAGCTCGTGTTTTCTGTAATAAAATGATTTGTGCTTCACACTGTTTGGTTGTCATGTTTGTTGGAAATCAGGATTGACAGGATTTAGCTTTTGTATTTCAGCATCACGAAAAAACATTTGACAAAATAGTAATATTTTTTAATAGCTAAACTCACTTGAGTTTTGCATTGGGTTTACATTGAATGCATTGTTAAATGTTTCATTTAAATATCTTACCTAATGAAAGAAATACTTTTGTTATGCATTTGAATATTTCAAGGCACATCTAACATTACTTTCCATGTACCAAAATACATATATAATTACATAGATGAAAAAAATATCGCTATTATGCAGCTAAACAGTATGATTATTTTAATGTGTTAGCTTTTTTGTTTGTATGCTTGTTTTTTAATGATTATTTATATTTTTCATATTCAGTGAATCTTGGTGGGCTGCTCTTGCAGGCCTTGTTGGAGTTTTGGCCCAGAACTCATATAAACCCAATGGAAGAGGAGGAAAATGAGCTCAACCATGGTAGACATATTCACTTTTATAATGGCTTTTATTTTAAACCCTAGACTATATATTGAATCAATAATCAACATGTGCAGCTGTTCAGAATTTAAGTTTCAATAGCAATACGTTTTTTATTAGTTTTTTCTATCAATACATTTTAGTTATGCATATGTCATATTTGATGAAACTATGCTAAATCCACTGAATTCTACAAAGGATGCATATTTATTCTTGTACTCTAGTTGTGCAGTGTATTGTCTCCAGTCTAATTATTTCTGAAATTCAGATGTCTTTTTTTAAACACTACCTCTATACAGTACAGTGGTTTCTGACTAATCATCTTCTGTGTGTTTTTGTCTGCAGTAAACGGTGAACAGGAGAGTCGAATTCAAAAGGGCAATGGCTACTTCCAGGTTCCACCACACACTCCTGTGATCTTTGGTGAAGCAGGAGGGCGAACATTATTTAGGTCAGAATAACTATGATATAGTGACTATGACTTTTCAACTTGGTTGGATGGATAGATAGATAGATAGATAGATAGATAGATAGATAGATAGATAGATAGATAGATAGATAGATAGATAGATAGATAGATAGATAGATAGATAGATAGATAGATAGATAGATAGATAGATAGATAGATAGATAGATAGATAGATAGATAGATAGATAAGACTAAGACTAAGACTACAGATAGATAAGACTATAATTTGATTTAATTTTTAAAATAATTGGACTTTTCTTTCACAGAACTTGTCTTTTTACAATCCGTTTTCACTGCAATTTTAGGTTATTATGCCGTGATTCTGGAGGAGAGACGGAGTCTATGTTACTGAATGAAACCGTACCTCAGTGGGTTATCGATATCACTGTAGATGTGAGTGTTTCAAATTTCACAATCAACTCAATAATTTGTTTTTGATTGCATGTTAAAGATTGCATATTATTTACTTTACATGTGTTTTTAAACCTTTGTGAGTTTATTTCTTTTGCACAAAAAAGAAGATAGTTTGAAGTATGCTGGTTGCTGGCACACATCAACTTTTTTGATGGTAAAAAATGACTATGTGTGCCATCTACCGGCATTTTTACCAGCAATATCATCTTCTGTGTTTGGCAGAGAAAAGAAACTCAAATAGGTTTTCAACAAGGGAAGGGTAAATGACTAAATGATTAATGAATGTGTTTTTTTATTTTTGGATGAACTATCCTAACAATGTTTCCTCCTTTCAGAAAAACATGCCAAAATTCAACAAGATCCCATTCTACCTCCAACCTCATTCATCATCTGGGGCCAAAACGCTCAAAAAGTAGGTTGTGTTTGGAAAAGGTGTTGAAATTAAAAGCACTAAGGATTATTCTACTTTTGTTTTTAAAGCTGCAGTATGTAAGTTTGACACCCAGTGACTGAACTAGGTATTACATTCTTGGATCAAAACAAAAACAAGTGCCAGGTTGCCAGATTGACCAACTGGAACGAGTCTGACAATCGAGCCTAAAGGCTGATTCAAGTCTTGTTCTAAATAAAAGCAACAGCATGCGATAGAAGTAATACTCTCCATATTAAAAGGAGTTTTTGTTCTAACCAACACCTGAAATTTTTATTTTAGAAACGGCTTAAATTACTTAAAGCTGAACTACAGAAGGCTGACAATGATGATGATTCAGCATGTACGTTTAATAATGTTAAAGAGGTTTAGTATGTATTAATTACATTATAAACCTTACCATTTCATTAGCGAGTGCATATTCAGTGTTTCTGAATGACTGTATTTAAATTTCTGTCGTGTTTTGTCTGGTGCAATCAGCCAAATTGCTTATCACTGCAAATCTCGTCACGTAACGTGTTTTGACACAGGGTTACAATGTAACCTGCTCACCTAATGTTTACTCTCGTAATATTATTTTCTAATTAATAACCTCTTGTGGAACTCTGAATCTGCATCTCATTTCGGAGTCTGCTACTGTCCACCGGAGATCGCATTTTGGTCACGGATGCATGCTTTCAGAGTCTTTTTGAATGAAATATGCTGTTTTCCACCAATGCAACCGGTGATGCTGAAATATAATTGGTTAAACTGGCATTGGGCGAGTTAAAAGAACCAAAAAAAAGACAGCCGTTCCGGCACATAACGCACGTTTTCAAAGCAGAATATCTGACTTCAGCATTGTTTTTCAGATAAACAAGAATGTTCACTTAGCATGTTTCTTAAATATCTGCAAACATATTATGGTATTTTTATACTTTAGAGGAGAAAAACTTGCATACAGCACCTTTAGTTAAACACTATTTAGACATACTATGAGTCTATTTTGAAGTGTGTTTAGGTGTTCTTGTGCGTGTTGGAAATCCTTGAATTGGATTCTGCTGTTTTTAAGGTTTGAAAAGTCTTTAGCTTTTGGATAAAGTGCTTGAAACTACTTGAAAATATAGTTATTCTGCTTTCATAATAATTAGTTCTTAAATAGGTAAATAATAATGAGTTAAATAAAATAAATATTTTTTAAGTCTGTGCGTATGCACATTTACAATGTGAGTTAATTACACTTCAGAGAGTAAATGACTAGGGGTGTAACGGTTCGCAAAAACCACTGTTCTGTTCGATACAACACAGTGGTGTCACGGTTCGGTATGTTTTCGATACAGCAAAAAAAGAAAAAAGCCTGAGGATTTCTCTGATTTTAATTTACTGGCCCTATTATTAGTTAACAATAATAACTGTACTGTGTTCTCACGGGTGGTGTCTGATATTGCACAGATGATATTGACATATAACTTATTATTTGCGTGCATTATCTTAATAGCAGTAACGGTCTTTTCATGAGCTGCAATATTAGTTTCATCTCAGTGAATGCATGCTCTTTAGCGATGGTGAACACGGTGTCAGTCGCACGATTGACAGCATCGTGATGATTAATTATGTTAGAACATCTCGTGCTTAATGTGTAGATTCAGTGGCAAACACTGTTACCTGAAAACTCTGTCCCACCGGCTTTACGGTGAATGCTTTAGTCATTTTCATAGCAGACTTTAAACACTGGAAGTCTTTTATCCACTCTTCAAAAAGTGTAAATGCTGGATTGACATTCATTACATTTGTTCCTTTGGTGGTTTCTATAACTAAATCTGTCAGTGTTATTTTCATTCTCTCGTATCCAGACCTTTACGTTTTTGCGGCTGTAGCTTCCTGTCATTGGAACTCAGCCATTGACAGCGATATTAACCAATCCATTCGCTTTCTGTTCTAGCGCAGTGGGCCAATAAGAAGAGCTTGAAGGTGGGGCAAGCATTGTGGGCTTAGTTTACTGCAACTTGACATGTCAACTGTTTTAAACCATTCCCGAGTGCTGCATTTGCTGTTTTTAGATGCTTAATGCGTGAATGCCTCCCAATTCCGCGCACGTGGTGAACATTTTGCTGTGAAAACTGGTCGCACGACATCAATTTTATGCACTCCCAAATATATTTTAACGTCGCATATATAAAATTTTGGGCGCATATGCAACCAAAACAATTAGTTGCAATTTCGAGCCCTGTCTCATATCCACAGCTTTAAATGTACCGAAAACAAAGTGTTCCCAAACGCCAGAACTGCTGTTGGTTATAGGAGGATTACATTAACAGTATACCCATTTTGCGAGCTAGTGCAGTGTTTGCCAAACCGAAAGTCTCGTACAGAACTGTTCAATACGAATACGTGCATCGTTACATCCTTATAAATGACAGTAATTCAATGTTGGGCTTGGAGAAAACATGCCATCACATTTTTTCTTAGAATACTGTACTGCACTATACTACTAAACTGTACTATATATAGTAAAGACTACTTCATTTAGTAAACCCTTTGGGAAGTTTGATAAACTAATTTTGAGAGGAACACATGATATTATTGATAGATAGACAGCTGGTCTCTCACCTGTAATCATCAATGAACCTATCAGATTAATCCAAGCCTACAATAAATAGACCATTTCACCTTACTTCTCTTACCTTCGTTTTGGAAAAATCCCCCCCTTCCACCCCATCTCCCCCTTTTCCTCCTCTACTAGAGGGAGTTCACTGGAACTACCTGCTCTTGGACCGCCTTAAATGCTAAATTACCATGTGGTAGCCCTGGGCTCAATTATCTCAGACCTCAGGCTTCTCTCCTGGGACAGCATGCCAAACCTGCCATTATTATCAAGCAATATCTAAGTGTGAACTCTTAAATGTACAATTGAGGAAGCATTTAGCGATTTAACAAGAAGAGGCAATACACGCAAGAATTACACAATGGATCTCTTCAGAGAATTAAGTGCTAGAGTTAGGAGGGAGTAGTGTTATTTTATTTATTTATTTATTTATTTATTTAAGAGAGAAGAGTGTTTCTGCAGGTGGTTTGTCAAGCCCACTTACCTGTGTGAAGCTCACTTCATAAATGCACAATGTTTTTCTATTTCTTTTCTTTTTTTAAATGTCGAGTGATCTTAAGAAACTATCAGGTGCAATTTTTTTCTACAGATAGTTTTTCAAGCCCACTCACCTGTGGGAGGCACACTCAGAATTTGCATAATGTTTTGAGGCTGTTGTGTGGTGTGGAAAGTGACAATAACACGTAGCATCAGATATATGTAGCATAGTATGTAAATATGTCATTTGCCACACCTGTAAAGTTCTGGAAATCATTTGAAAATGCATCTGGAAAGTGTTTGAAAAGTGCTTAGATTTGACTTGTTTAGTGTTTTTTTCCGAGATCAAGGTTTTGGAGATCCTAATCCCGCTCTGTTGTTTTCAGGGATCGCCTGTCAGCTAGCGACATGCTGCAGGTGCGCAAAGTGATGGAGCACGTTTATGAGAAGATCATCAACCTGGACACGGAGTCGCAGGCCACCAGCTCCTCAGCCAATGACAAGCCGGGTGAGCAGGAGAAAGAGGAGGACGTGTCGGTGATGGCTGAAGAGAAGATTGAGCTCATGTGTTTAGATCAGGTTAGACATGCTATCGGATTCTTTAATGCTTCTAGACACGAATAAAAGAATAAAATAATGTACTGATTATTTGCTGTTCAACACTCTATTTTCCCTCAGATGCTGAAACTAATGTAAATAAGGTGACAGTTGATGGTTTTTTAATTGCTTTGGGATTGTTTTCGAATTTCTTATCAGTGCAGTCCAGTTAAGGCTGATTTATACTTCTGCGTCAAACACCGGCGTATGCTACGGTGCTGACGCATAGCCCTTCGCTGTGGCCGTCGGCGTCGCTGACGTGCACCTCTCAAAAAATGTAACTACACGTCACAGCCTCTGTGATTGGTTGGCTTGGTAGTGCTGAAGAGTCTGGGAGGGACCGAGAGCCGCGTGAATGGTGCGAGCCTGATGGAGCGATTGTTTACAAGTGTGGAGTCCCATGAAGGAGCTCCTGATGGAAAGTTTTGTTTTGTGTTTACCTCATAGTTAAAGTTGTTGCACCTCCGCACTTGTACATACAGGAAGTGTTCAGGAAAAGCAAAACAGCAGCGAAGAAACTCGACACAGAGGAACATTTACACCTCACTGCCAACTAGCGTTTTAGAAGTGTTAATGCAGACCATCAGAGACAGCGCGCAGAAGTATAAATGCACAGCTACGCGCGTTGCATGCGCCGTGGGTTACGCCGGTCACTTGACGCAGAAGTATAAACCAGGCTTTAGTTTTGTTAAATCTGTCACATTGATTAACCCAGGGTTAAAAGTGGCTTTAATCTCAGTTAAACAGTTTTAAAATACTGTAACATAATAACTTGAGTAAATCCTTCTCTGCTTCATATGTTTGGTCGCTTTTAACCTACATTTATGAATTAATGCTCATTAATGCACTAAATTTTGTTAAAATTTCAGGGAGTTTTATGTAATCTACACTGTGTTGCTTGAATTAGTGTCATTTTTTTAAGTTGGTGAAGTTTTGTAATTGTGTTATTTTAATATTTTATTTTAATTAATTCATTTAATTATGTATGTGTAAATATTCTGATTTTATCTCTGCAACTAACTAAGTTTCTTTAAATGTTATTTTATTTAAAGTATTGAAAGATTATGTTTTTAGATTTAATTAACTCTGGTTCAGACAGGCCTGTTCACACCACCGCAAACAACTATGAAAATAATAATAAAAAATATGTTAAACCTTTAGAAATCACTCTAAATTTAAAAAAAGCTCTCAATCACCTCTTTAACAAGCTTTAACAATGAAGTCACTTAATATTGTTGTAATTTCTTTCATTATTCTACCTTTCAAGTAATTCTTCCAGCAAATGATTTATAAAAACATTGACAATGTTAAAGTGGCAGATGATAAATATTTACAATGAAAATTATGATGATTCTAATAAACACAAAATTAGCATATATTGATAAATATGGATGCTGCTAATATAGTTTTAGTTTGTTGTGTGAACAGTCTTAAATGGAACAAAACAGTCCTTCAGCCACATTGTTAAAGGGAAAGTTCACCCAAAAATGAAAATCGACATCAACTTATTGTTTACCTGTTCCAAACATGTTTTAGTTGAACACAAAAGAAGATATTTTGAAAAATGTTGGAAACCTGTAACCATTGACTTCCATAGTATTTGTTTTTCCTATTATGGAAGTCAAAGGGTTTCAGCATTCTGTAAAACATCTTCTGTAGTGTTAAAAAAAAAAAAACTCATAAAGGTTTGAAAACACTTGATGGTGAATGCATAGTGGCTGCGTCTGAAATTACATTCTTCAATGATATATAGTACGATTAAAACAGTATATGAGCTGAGTAGTATTTCCAAATTTGAAAAACATTATGCAAGAAATTCCCGAATGACTTCAAGCGAGATTCTGAAGTGCACATTGGATAAACGCTATGCTATCCCATGATGCACCACGAGAGAATTCCAGCATGGGTCAGTCACGTAATCATGACAAAATGGCGTATGGCAAAATGTAGTACGTCCGAGTTTCCTTTATATTGCTCACATTCATATTGTGTAGAACATACCTTTCTAATGGTGAAGTTGTACATTCAAATTCAGTAATAGGGGATTTTGGATGCAGCCAGTGAGTACATTTTTGTTTTTGGGTGAACTGTCCCTTTAAATTAATTTGTGATTTGTTTTTAACAAATGCTTGCTGTATTTTACAGGTCTTGGATCCAAACATGGACCTCAGGACTGTGAAGCATTTCATCTGGAAGAGTGGAGGAGACCTGACCATTCACTATCGACAGAAATCCACATGAAGACCTCTAATCGCTGTACAGAGCCCGTCACGTTCAACCCACATCACTCTGACTTCCAGAAGAAGCATCCCAGAATGCCCTGCTCTTCTCAGGTTTGACCGTCACCTTCAAGGAATTTTCTTTTTGTCCTTCTCTCTTTTGCAGTGGCTAAAATAACAGAGCCAGACAGTCGGTGGAAGGTTTAAGACTAGAGATTGACGCAGGTGTCATGACATGCTGTGAACTGAGACTTCATCATTCGTCTGCCTTCATTTCAGATTTTTCTTTTGTATATTTATTACTGTTGTGTTTGCGAATGTGTCTTGTCCAGCTTAACAATAATAATGATGATGCACACGTATACTTCCATTCTCAAGTCTGAAACATTCCTGATGGCGTTTCTGATGGAGATCCAGAACTGAAAACATGCTTTTTTATCGTCCCTATTTTTTTGTCCTCCACAAGTAAGCTACTTTTATTGTCTAGATTTAACAGGATGTTCACCCAAAATTAAAATGAATCTACATTTTTTTTACTCTGGTACATCAAAGCTTCAAAAGTACAGCAAATTCTGTTAAACACGCTGTATATTATGAATATTTTAGTGGTAATCAATATGCAACAAATAAATACAATATAACGTGCTGTTTAATAAAACACACCGACTGTTGTTCGCATCATTTCCAAGCAAAAACTCTAGGCTACAAGATCCAGTTCTGAAAAGTCTTCTGTCTTCAGTGTTTTTGATACATAAATGTTGCTAACGTATTATTGTAGCCCAGTTCGCGCTGTTTACAGTGGTATTCACCACTTATACACTACCTGACTAAAGTCTTGTCGTCTATCCAAGTTTTAGGAAGAACAAATAATAACTTGACTTCTAGTTGATCATTTGGAATCAGAAGTGGCTTTTATGAAAGGCAAAGGCCTCTAGATTACGCTTATTTTTATCAAAATAAAATATGATCATGCCTGGATTTTCAATTATTTAATTAGGACAGTAAGGTCTGACTTTGCTTATAAGCTCATCTGGAATAAAAAAAAAATTAAAGAAAGCATTCTTGCAGGACTCCCAGAGTTTATCAAGATTCTTTAGATTCATCTTCAATGCCTCCTCCATCTTACCCCAGACATGCTCAATAATGTTCATTTCTGGTGACTGGGCTGGCCAAATATGAGAAGGAGCGCTATCCTGCTGAAGAATTTGCCCTCTCCTGTGGTTTGTAATGTAATGCCACAGCCATATCACCCTGCAGCCCAAGACCGGTTACTCACTGAAGCTAAGCAGGGCTGAGCCTGGTCAGTACCTGGATGGGAGACCACTAGGGAACACTGGGTTGCTGTTAGAAGTGGTGTTAGTGAGGCCAGCAGGGGGCGCTCAACCTGTGGTCTGTGTAAGTCCTACTGCCCCAGTAAAAAGTGAAGGGGACACTACACTGTCAGTGGGCGCCGTCTTTCGGATGAGACTTTAAACCGAGGTCCTGACTCTCTGTGGTCATTAAAAATCCCATGGCACTTCTCGTGAATGAGCAGGGGTGTAACCTCTAGTCCCTCTATCGGCCCTTACGATCATGGCCTCCCAATCATCCCCTTCCACCGAATTGGCTTTATCACTGTCTCTCCACTCCACCAATAGCTGGTGTGTGGTGAGCGCACTGGCGCCGTTGTCCTGTTGCAGCCGTCGCATCATCCAAGTGGATGCTGCACACTGGTGGTGGATTGGAGAGACCCCCCTCATGATTGTGAAGCGCTTTGGGTGTATGGGAATACACAATAAATGCGCTATATAAATACACATTACATTACATAATAGGCAGCACAAATGTCTTGATACCTCAGGCTGTTGATGTTGCCATCCACTCTGCAGATCTCTCGCACGCCCACATACTGAATGAAACCCCAAACCATGATTTTTTTCTTCACCAAACTTGACTGATTTGTGTGTGAATCTTCGGTCCATGCGGATTCCAATATGTCTTCTGCAGTATTTGTGATGATTCATCTTTCTGGACGTTCACAGTTTATCTATGTGGGGGGGTCACAGATCACGTACTGTTGCTTTATGTTATGGTGTCCCCCAAGGGTCAGTACTTGGTCCACTTCTCTTTAGTATTTGTATGTTGCCTCTTAGTCAAATCCTGCAAAAATGTGGAATTAGATATCATTGTGATGCCGATGACACACAGATCTATATTAACACTTCTCCCAATTCATGCCCATCAATGTCATCGTTAAACTGAAATTAAAGCTTGGATGCAACATAATTATCTTAAACTGAATAGTTAAAAGCCGAGATGTTATTGGTTGGCACTGCTTCTAACATCAAGAGGTTTAGTGAATTTGAGTTAACGGTTAATGGGTCTGTCTGATCGCCATCTCGCAGGTTCCAAATCTTGGTGTTCTCCTTGACGCTCAGCTTAGTCTGAAGCCTCATTTTAAACATTTAACTAAAACGGCCTTTTATCTTCTTCGAAATATAATCCGTCTTTTCCTCTCGAGGATCGACGCTGAAGGGCTTGTCCATGCTTTTCTCTCGTCCAAAAATCTGCTGTGCGTGTGTTGACACATACATCATCTCTCTCACATCACTCCCGTACTCCAACAGCTTCACTGGCTGCCCGTCAGGTCTCGTATTGATTTCAAGATGTTGATTTTAACATATAAAGCAGTTCATGGTTGTGCTCCGGGTTACATTTGTGACTTGATATCCATTTCCTCTCCCTCTCGCTGTCTACGCTCTGCCTCGGGTCCTACGCTGTTTCAGCCTCGCTGCAAACTCAGCACTATGGGAGGTAGGGCGTTCTCTTTCCGTGCACCCAAACTGAGGAAGGCTCTTCCCACTAACATTAGGAATGCTGGTTCCTTGGACGGTTTTAAAGGGCCATGAAACCCCCTCGTTTCAACAGGGTGTTTTCACACCTCTACTTTGGAAAAAGTCAGAAAAGTGGGCGTGTCCAGCTCTGTTTAGGGGGGAGTGTCGGAGGAACTAAAGTGGGAGGGTGTGTGAGTGTCTATTTGGGCGCGCTGAATTTCAGAGTCAAAACACACAACCACAGCGGACAAAGTGACTGTGTTTACATGGACATCTGTAGTCGAATTATTTGCCAAATTATTAAATGGTGGACTTTAACTGCAGTTTGGCTCTTTCATTCAGGGAATTCATTCATGTCTCTCCCGATAAACGTGATATTTGATTCGAGGAACTGCTCTAAGCTTGTATTTTTCATGCAATGTTTGATACCGCACGGCGAATGAGAGAAAAAAAAACTCAGCATTTCCCGGAAACTTGGATGCACACGGCAGGTAGCGTCAGAAAGCCGCGTGTGTTATTCCGGTCACAAAATCCAACACGAGGTTATAGTTAAGTTGTAACTATTAGTGCTAACTTGTTTACTCTCGTTGCAATAGTTTGTTTGATATGAATAAAATACGAACTGAATAAACAAAGAGCACTGGTCGCTCACTTACCAAATCTGTAGAGACAGGACAATCACCAGCAACTAGAGCCGCGTCTTTATTAAGAGGAAACTAAAGTGAATCTGGATTTCAGCGTTTGCAGATGAGAACAGCTCTCAGGTAAACAATAATCCTCCTTAGACACGTAAGTTATTGTTGTCGCGGGTCGCGTACACTGTTAATCCACACGTGACTCCAGCTGCGCTCTCACAGAGAGAAAATGAAAACGAAACTTAATGGCAGCAAACTATAAAAGCAACACTTCACGCTTGTTTTGCCAACACAACGTGGCGTCTTTGCCGTCTACACTCTGACAGTTATGAATATTAATGAAGTTGCACAATAGAGCGCGCTAATTGGTTTGAACCAAGCCTTACTCATGCATTAATGCATCACACTGTAAGACATAATAAGACTCACTCTGGCACAGACGTCCAGTCTGCACGCTGGAATACACGCTATTATGTCATGGCCGTGATGCAGCTTCAAAAATTAGTTTCAAACAGGAAGTACGAATTTGCTTGAAATAACGCAAAAACAACCAATTTACACTTTTTAGTGAAATATAGGTGTCCTAATAGTGTTTTTAGCAGTGTGGGACACATATACGACTGTCAACAGCTCAAAAAGTGTGTTTTGGTGTTTCGTGACCCTTTAAGAAGCTACTTAAAACTCATCTTTTTAGGACTGTTTTTAATTTGTGATATCTTTTATTCTTACTGTGTTTTTTGTATTTTTTATTGTTTTTCTGTGCTTTGTTGTTTTTACTTTCTTGCAAGCGCTTTGGGTTTTAGAAAAGCGCGTTATGATTAAAATGTATTATTATAATAAGAAAAATCGACCTTCTGCCACTTCTCCAAATGATTAACTAGAAGTTAAGTTTTTATTTGTTTCTCTTACAACAGAGATCAACAACAAGACTTTTGTCAAATAGTGTGTTTATAAGCATCTGAAAAAAGAACAAAGGGCACATCAGAACTTCTCCATTCCCCTAAAACACCCCAGACCCCAGAGTATTAAATAATGCAGGCATATTCATGAGACTGTTAGTAGCCATTAAATAAGATTAATTTCCTCTGTGTTTACTGTTTTTTTTTCTTCTTAATTTTCAACTTCAAATGCTTTTCAAATGTTTATTGTAAAGCTCCTGAATTAAATTTATTAGGAGATATAAAACAGATTTTGGCACAATGCTTTCCTCAGTGCGTGACACAATCTTCTCACTCCACCCTCTTATTCCACAGTCAATCACATCACGTCTTCCGTTAGATGACTGCTCAATAGTTAAAAACAATGTCATTTTCGTTTCAGTATAGCTAACAACAATAAATAATTCCTTCACCTGCAAACTGTCTGTGTTTTGTATCTGCTTTAAGCTGCGGTCACACTGGGCTTTTCCTGCCATAGACTTCCATTCATACTTACATGAACGTGTCCGGAAACGCAGGGTCATGCGTCAAGTTTTGCAGGTTGCTGCGGTGCAAAGTTCAAGCTTGGTGAACTCTGACCTGCGAAACCGCATCACTTGACTGCGTGAGACCAATCGAGGATCAAAACATGACCTTTCTGGACAGAAATTTAAAACATGGAGCAATCGCTCGCTTTTTTAAATGTCTAATCATCTTGTTTAATCCCGGCCCTTTTCACAGAACCGTACGACAGTATTTCGCAACCTCTGGTGTGACCACAGCATTATTTTGTAAAATAAAGCTACATAAAGTAATTATTTAAATAATCATTTAAATCGTGACCTTCTGAATGATATTAGCAAGATTAACACACCAACATTTTAAAAACTTCATTACTGAATTTAATACATTGATAAAACCTTATTGTGTAGTGTTACCTTTTTGTTTTGTTTTTAAACAATACTGGTCGCTATTTAATATTATGCAAATGAGGTTGAGATATTCTTTTGTGGTGCGAAGATGAAAGAACAGCATACGACACAGGAAGAAGACCAGAGTGAGAAGATGCTGGCTTTATTTTCCGTTTTGGTGATTTCAGTTTCTGATGAGGCTTTAAGATTGACCTTTCTCAATAAAACTTTCAACTCTTTTCACTCGTGATGTCTAATAAGAATTTGTTCCTTTTATATTTCTTTTAGATCGTATGGGTCATATTTTTTTTATCTTAAAAGCAGAAGTATAAATGCAAACACTACAACGTGGTTTGGTTTAACACATGTATTCAGATTTTTTAC